GAAACACACGTCGAATTATTTATCATAGAAGGTTGAGTGTAAATAAAGAAAAAATACGACAACTTATTTGGGCATCACGCTTGTAAATATATACACTGTTCAAAACTTGCATGCAAGATCAGGATGAAAATATGTTTCTCTCACTTTCTTTTTTTTTTTTGTACTTTTTAGACAAGTTGAGTTAACTGCTCAGTGGTAATTTTTCTAAATGAATTACTAAAGAAATAAAAGTAAATAAAAAAAACAAGTCCTTACCTGTCGAATACAGTCTGGTTTTGATTTGAATCAGCTGGCTCCAGAGGTCTTTGGGAATCTTCTATCAGACCAACATTAACAAACATTTGAAATGGCTTTGCACCGGTGGCTGTCAAGTCAAATAAAAATACAGAACTACAGACTCCTGTCATCTGCATGTTGATCAGACCAACACTGCATAGCAACATTAAATCACAGAGAGTACATTTTTAAATCAAATGTAATAATTAATACTAACTGACTTCAAATCAAACCCTATGATCTAATCTAATCTAATCTAATCTAATCTAACCTAATCTTATTTGATTTTATCTAATATAATATAATGAATGTCAGGTAGTCTAATAGAAATATAAACCAACTGACTCCTGTCATTTGTTTGTTTCTAACATTACCTTCTAAACCTATATCTGTTCTATAGTAAACAACTTTTAAATTGTCCACCAAAACAATCGAATTATTATTAAACAAATAATATGAGAAATATTCAAATAGCTGTTGAATCTCTATTTATGACACACTCTGCTGCTTTCATCTCACTCTCCTTTGTGAATTTTGTGAAAATGATAATAATTGGAATCTTTTGGATCGTTCTGTTTTAAACTCAAGGCCATGGCGAGTTTAAGTGAGAGGATAATTAGAATAATTAAACCATTGGGAGGCACATTTCCCAAGCATATCTCTCTCTTTTCTTCTAATTCTATTCAACTCTCCTGATTTATCGACTAACTAGCCTGCGTTGCATTTGCATGATCAGACTTCAGACAAAATCAGTTCTATGTCTTTACAATACCACAGAGACAGCAATTACCGGCATCCAGAGAGTGTAGCAAATGCTGACAACATTACCTTTCCTACTTATACATCTAAAATGAATATCATGATCAAGGCATTCCAGACTACTTTTCCTTGAAGATACTTTGCAATTAAGTAGTAACATGTTGCACACACAAGCTTACCTAAAAAGGCAAATATAGTCATAACAATCTATAGTAAACCTTATAGAAGTACATGTGTTTTCAAGAGAATTAGAAAGAGAGACCCCACCTGTTTTTTGTCTTGGTACTGCCGTGCAGCTCTGCTTAGGTCACTGTCATCCTTTAAGATATCGCTAAAAGTTACGTGAATTGCCTGTGTGTGCTCACACAACTTTTTAGCCTGCGACAAGACAAAAGAGGACAATCTGAAGCAACATATAAAATGACAAAAATGAAAATACTCTGAACAGGTAAAGCTGTACAGATGACAGTATTGGGATCTCTGAGGCCTGACGCTGTCACTATGATGAATACATTATTGAAAAGTAACTCTGATTGACTTGACAGGTGTATTTATAAATACATTTCAAGACTGAAGAAAGTACACAAAGACAAAGAAACAAATATATGCATTTTTTTTACAGGAGTTATTTACAGGAAGCACAACACTAACAGTGCTGGATGACACTTTAAAAGACATAAACAAGAAAAATATACACTAATTGTAACAAAGTTTAAATGGCAGAAATGATTGGAGCTACTCAGTTTGGGACTTAAAATGATGCACTTACTATGGTTCTTTTCCCGGACGCTGGAGGACCCAACAATATGATTCTTGGCACTGGAATAAATAAAATGAATGAACTGTTCTTAATACATTACAGATGCAAGGCAACATTATAGTTAATTAAATCTAGTAATGTATTTCTAGTTGATGTCTAAACGCTGGCAGTTAGTATCATTCTATAATAAGGTTAAACTGTCTTTTTATCTGAACAATGTTTAATAAGTTGGTTACAGCACCAACTTCAAGTCACACTTCTTATTTGATATTATGTACGACTGCGCCATCTTGTGGTAAGGAATGTATTTTTATAAGAACGAATTACCTTCATACAAGTAATTTCAGAAATAGTCAGGATTTATCAATAGTGCAAATACATAAATAAATACATAAATAAATAAAAACCTTACCATCAAAACTGTCCCTTTTTAGGAAGTTAATCAGGTATTGAATGGGGTCCTCTGGTTTGTCCACCATTACATTGCTCAGTAGTGTCTGCAAATGTATAATTTATTTGATCCATTTATTTGCCTTAGAAATCATCATAAACTTATTAAGCATTGTTTAATAAAATGTCTATACCAGGACCAGGTGAAATATGTCATGTTTCTCTGCATAAATGACCATCTCATGTCCTTACAGTCGCATCCATCACTGCAGTACACCACACGACACAGAGGTCACCAAAGACTTGAAAATCTGCAAATAACTGTAAAAATGTGAATTCCCTTTCATGGGAACTTCGAACTGCGTCCTCTAGGGGTCGCTATGGGGAACGCCTCGTCGTGACCCGTGTCTGAAGCATACATTGAAAAAACACCAACCTGTTGGCCGGCGACAGCCATGACGTAACTACCGGTGCGACTATAGTATAAATAGGCGCCGGGAGCACACATCATTCTCTTCTTCGTCTTCATTGACTGTTTTGTTTGAAGCGTGCATTTCTGTGGTAAGAGCGATCTCTATTTATCTCATTATGGCGAGCACTAGCAAAGCATTTAAGGATGTGTGCATCCGTGTTGACGTTGTTTAACATCTGATGACACACACGATCTATGCGTTCCTACTCAGGGAACCATGGTTACATAAGTAACCTGAGACGTTAGTTCACAAAAAGAGTAACGTTACCTGAAATCAATAAAACGCATACAATAGTCTTTTATGAGGCTAAACGTGTCCAAAGCGGGAAAAGACTCTTGAACTTATGTAAACTGAAGGCGGAGGTTTCTGAGGCAAGGATGGGACGTGTTTTTAGTCAGTACAAAATACCAGTAAACAAACTAGTTTTCGGACTGACCCTTTAAACAGAACAAATGACGGAAATTACATTGGTTTTCAGATGCAGCATTGACTTGCCAGCTGAAAGCCTTCTACTCTTTGGGAAAATTTGAGGAATGTAACGAAAACTACGTAGGTAACGTTACTTGATTAAAAAAAGAGAGTCAAAAAGAAGACATTTATTTAATGTTACCTTGGCTTGAAACGCAGTTTTTGCTAGTTTGCCGTGCGCATGCGTTTGTTACTGTATGTTGCCATTGGTAACTTGGTCAGCAATCACCATCACCACCATAGACATAATAAATACCTAGACGCCTCATTGGCCGCTTTGAGCCGTTGCTGCGATACGTCAACACGTCCGCCATGTTTGTGAGGGCAAGACTGCCTTAAAAATAAATGGAGGTAAACGGAGGAGCTGCGGTTTTTTCTGGATAAAAACACGATAACGTTTACATTTATCAACCGATTTCAGAGGTTTGTGATCTACATGGAGTTAAAAATAACTCTGCCTCCAGTTATTTAGTTAGGTTTGGAAAATTATTATTTTTCGTAAGAAATTGTGAAAACTCACACTTGTCTCACTTGTCTCAATACAATTCTAATGTTAATGTAGTATAACTGTGACATATACATGTTTTGTAATTTGAATGTACATTAAATGAAATTAAGTTGTTTCATTGCTTTCTCTGTCTTCAACCCCAACATTTTAGCTGTGCTTGTGCTTCAGATCAGAACACAGCTCATTCCCCTTACAAAAATATCCTGCAGGAATTCCTGAAGGAATGCTGCTTTCTGTGCAGGGATCATGCAGGAATCCTGCAGGACAGAACTAAATTCCTTCAGGACAGAGACATTCCTACAGGAGTCCTGCAGGATTGTCCACACGTTTGTCCTGCAGGACCGCCCCACTACATACAGGAATTTTTAATTCCTGTAGGATTATAGTTTATAGTTTATAGTTTATGCATTTAGCAGACGCTTTTATCCAAAGCGACTTACAGTGCATTCAGGTTATACATTTTTTTACCAGTATGCGTATTCCCTGGGAATTGAACCCATGACCTTTTGCGCTGCTTACGCAGTGCTCTACCACTGAGCCACAGGAACACGTAATTAATAATAATAATATCATACAGTGGGCAATAAACATGTCATGAAGTTGTCAATGCAATTCATTATTCCCAGTATTGCAACGAGTGACGCAATTAAAAGACCGTTGACCGTCAGTCTCAATTCTCGCTGAAGCAGGTGAGTGACTGTTATTTTTCCCACATTTAAAATGCCTAAAAGTGTTAAAAATCAGTTGTATAGTATTGTACTAGTGACACATAGCCTAATGTTGAGAATGAAATGCTTAAGTAAATGACATGGCAGGGTCTCCGTCTATCTGTCTGTCTGTCTGTCTGTCTAATTAGCAATGTCCTATTATAATGTGATGTTAGTCTGTTTGTTTCATCGATCTATCTATTTATCTATCTATCTATCTGTCGATCTGTCTGTCAGTCCGTCCGTCCGTCTATCTATCTAAACTGCCTGTTTTTCTCTGTCGTTTTCTATCTTTAATATCTATCAAAACATTGTTTCTTTTCTCAGTTATACAAGATGTGGGCTTTAATTGAATGGACAGAGAACGACGCTTCGCTAGACATTGTAAAGAAAATGGACATACTTTCGTTGATGTAAAATACGAAGATGAAAGCTCTCCAGCAATTATTTTGAAGCTGAGTGGTAAACAGATAATATTTCAGAATGTAAATACTTTATATATCAATGAGTGCATTATATTGTTGAGGCAAAGGAAATTCTCTTTTTTGTTGTTGTTGTTTAGAAAATAAAGACAGGCTGCTGAAACTCTTCATCAGGTAGAGTCAGAGAGAAAGAAAAAGATGAGGGCAAACTTCCTGACAAAAGACCAATAAAAAGGAAGGAAATATTTAGTCCAGAAAACAGTCCATCGCCAAGTCCAGAGAAGAGATGCAAAAGAGTAAAATCTTTCTTCCTGATAAATTATTTAAAAAAAATATATTGTTGCATAAAATGTTTTTATTATTTATTTACTTTTTAGGTTGACGAACCACAGAAGGACAAACTGTTGTTCAAAAAAATCCAAGAGAAAGCCAAAGAAAACAACGAACCGAATGAACTTAGAAGAGAAATCAAGGCCTTGAAAGCTGAAAATCAGGAACTAAAGGCACTAAACTTTAAACTACAAAAAGGTAATTACATAAGTTTCCCTCATAAAAAATAAAAACACTTCCTTTTTATGTTTTTACTGATGTGAACTTTTGTGCTGTTGTTGTTTTTTTCTCCCTATTTAGACATTATTAACAGATTTGAGGAGTTGTTGCCAAATAGAAGCAGATCTGTTGCACAAACCTGTCCACCACCTGCATCTCCTAAACCTGCTCCTCATCCAGCTAATCAGTCACATACTCATGTAATCACTCACTAACTTTTTTTTTTTTTTTAGATATCACAGGATTCCTGTGTGATTCCTGTAGGATTTCTGTGAGATTCCTGTGGGATTCCTGCAGGAGTCCCACAGGACAATGATCACGAAAATCCTGTGGGATCCTACAGGACCTTGCAGGTGATTTTTCCTTCAGGAAATATGTAATATTATAAAGTATATGTAGTACAAGTTGTAGTAAAGTGAATAATATAAAAAGTGAGTACAACAGTATATAATAGATTTATAATAGCATAAATTATATGTATAATACCATAATAAATAGATGAATAATAGCAAGTAGAATATGTAATATCAAGGGTGGAATAATACAGAATAGACAATAATGAAGAATAAATTAATAGTAAATTCTAAAGTAAAATAAATAAGCTTATAGTATTTATTATGTCTATGATCACCACCACCAGAGGGAGCACGAGTGTCGTACTCTTGTTGCTAAGCAACGCAAATTCAATGCAACAGAAACAGCAGACAGCGGCTGTGCGGATATGCCGTTATAATACGTACTAGTACAGGTAAGTTCTAATACATGTGAATATGCCATTTATTATCACGAATGTTATTTATTTTACCTTGTGTTAAAATCGCTCATCTTCTTTCTAATAAAATAGTATTTTTTCAAGTTGAAACGTACTACAATGTTTTTATTCATATATTTTTATCATATCCCTAAACAACAGTACTTATTCTGGACTTTAACATTGCTGTATCCATTTTAAACAGGTTAAATAATTAAATTGAGATGACTGACTTCAGAGAACAGCTATTAACGTTTCATACAACAGCAATTTATATTTATAACGGCTCTTGAGCGCTGGAGGGAGCACGCGAGGGACAAAACTGAGTATGTCTCCACCGTGACACAGGTGATGATTTATTCACTGTTTCCAAAGTAATTGCACTTTACAGTGTTATGATGAAAGATTCTTGTAATTTCTTAAAATTACACAATAATTACACTATCGTTCAGTGTCAAGCGAACTTTTGGAAATTATTCGAATGTGCTGATTTGGTTTATGAGCAACATTTCTTATTAATGTTGAAAGCAGATGTGCTGCATAATATTAAAAACAGCATTTATTTGAAATATTTTTTTTCTATTAGTCTTTACTTTAACGCATTTTAATGCAACCTTGCTAAATACAAGAATTAATAAAAAAAAAAAAAAGATGTTCCTCGATAGGTCCAAAGGTACTTGAATCTCCACTGCAGCAATTCCACAGACAAACGCATACTCTTGCTCTTTTTGGAAATTATTTCTGATCTTGAAGGCGTTTTAAAACATCTGGAATCCTCACCGTCCAGCAGAAGCACTTCCAGTGAGGGCCTAAATACTTGCAGGGAGCTCCTCAACCCCTACAGCAACATCAGTCAGCTAAGGGCAGTTAAGTGACAGGAAAATTACACTAATGATTTAAATTTATATTTAAATTATCCAGCATAAGGATGCTATTTTGTTCATTGATTGTAATCGCATGGTAATGAACCTCAAGAGTCAGAATAGCCACAGTGCATTACCATTGATTATTACTTATTTTTTTCCAAGGAGATAAACCGGCTGAGCTGTGATGAAGCAAGAAATTCCTATGGTGGGATTGTGAGTGTGATTCCACTGGCACTAGACCTCCTCACCATCTACAGCAGAGGAGGTGCTCAACGCGTCACTCTCAACAAACAGTTGCAAAAAACGTGGAGATGGTTGCAGACCTTGATAAAAAGACCAGTAAAAACCTGAGTAGATTTTAAAAAGGCACAGGTGGCTGGCATGCTGGAAAACCAGCCTTGAAGCCACCAGGAGGACATACAAGGAAATAAAACACTTGTTCAACACTTATGCATGTATTCCAGTGAGTTATCACACAAAGTATTATTAAATATACAATTACCATTATTAAATGGATGACTATGACACAATATGCAAAACATATATTTTATTTTTTTTGATCATAGCAAGTAGGAGAACACAAATCTGTTTTCTCAAATTGAAAATAGAATCCCTCGTTTCCTGTTACACCCGTCACCGTCTGATTGTACCATAGTTCAGATAACTTTCAACAAATGACTTCAGGTGATGGACAGGCTTCCTACTTTTTTTTTTTTTTTTTTTTTTTTTGAGTAAGGCATTTTGTGAAACAACAAAATGTTTGAGAGGGGTTTTGGTATAAAAACAGAAAGCAAAGTTTGAGTGACAGTTAAACAAAGCACAAGCTGTAAGATCACACTCATGGTGAACTGTGATAAGAACAGTCTGGACAGGGAAAAAAAAACAGCAATGATTTCCATAGATTTCAATTCTCATTGTAAACTCTCGAAGCCATTTCCCCAGCTGGCAGGCCGAAGCCAGCATTTTATTTTCTTTGCAACAGCACTTCAAATATTCCAAGTATATCCCACACTGAAAACAAACCCCGGGGGCAAGTTTTTTTAGAAAGAGACAAGTATATTGCTCTGCTAAGGTTCAGCAATCTTAATAAGGCTTGAATTAAAAAAAAGAAGTGCTTTTACTTCAGCCAGCTGGAGCCCATTACATGAAGCCTTTTCTTTGCAGATGGGGTCTGACCCGTGTAAGACAGAAATGAAAGAACATAATAGAGGGACATAAGCCTTCTGGCTTATAGCGAGCAGCTTCCTTTCAGAGTTTAGTGTGTCGAAGTATTGCAGTGGCCGTATTTGGTGCGCTATTAACACAAGAGCATTCACCCTTCAGACACATCTTAGACCACAAAGATATTCTCGATTCACAATAGGTCTCAACTGGACAAATGCACCTACAGCAGCCTGGCCTGTGTTCTGCAAGGCTCTGACGGTCCTGCAAAGCAGCAATCTAAATCGGTTTATTTTTCCCATCATCACTCATACCTTCAAGCTGGCATGAAGTGTTAGCTAAGAAGTATTGCACTGGTGACTGGGCGCTACAATCCCAGTGGAGAACGTTAATGCATAAAAATAAAATCTATTACTAGAAACAACACGAGACTTGCTTATTCTCTATAGGAGAAGTGCACAAAGAAAGCACTGCTACGGCATATACGCATGGCTCGCCTCAGCAATGAAATGTGATTTCTTATTCTACTTCACCTATTCCACATAGCTTTTTTTTGTTTTTCACATTTTTATCGGACTGATTGGTTGGTTTTTCATAGGCATGATCTATTTACAGTGCTGCGTTTGCAATGATCACACTCGGTATTGTGCAATTTCTAAGTCACATCAGCGGAAATTAACAATGCTCATCTCGAAGCGACTCAAGTAGCCATTTTGCGTGGACAAATTAAGGAGGATTGGAAACCGAATGGTACTATTACAAGAGCAAATACAGTGATTAAGTCAATAGATTTGCTGAAAAGTACAATGAGGCCCGAATAACATCCAACCACCACGCAATATAATCACCACGGTCGCTCACTAAATGCAGATTATAAAAAAAAAAAATGAATTCGTAATAGACAAAATATAAGTGAAGCTTTTTTGAAGACAAGATATTCTCTTGCCACTGTGGTGACTACATGGCAACTGCCAACCAAAAACTTTTTAATTTTTTTGGCTGTTTTGTAGTATAAGAGCTTTTAAAATTAACTAAAACTTTGCAAACCACTCTAACAAAAAGAGCAGTGCATTCTAATACTGGGTCCAAAATTATCAGCAGTGTACAATCAATGCTCATGGTGGGTCTCATTGTAGTCCATGATCCTCAGATCTTGCTGCCTCCTCCGCTGAATATTATACGCTCGGGGTCTGTCCATGGGCTGCAGGTCAGCCTGGTCAGTAGCCTCTTCAAGCTCCACGCTCTCTGTGGGCTCTGTGATTGGCTCAACCTTAAGATCCTTAGAGAGGCAGGTGAAGGCGGCCGGCTCACCCTCATAGTGGCTCTCGCTCTTATTTCGAAACATCTCTCTGGCTCTCTTGCCCAAAAAGCTTCCGGTACTGGGGTAAGAGCCAACTGCCAGTGGGGAGTCACAGGGGAGAGCGGGAAATGAATGGGTAAGGGCGGAAAGATCTTCTTCCTGACTGCCATTAATGAGTGCTGTGGGTGTTTGAGGAGACCCGGCAGATATTTCACCATTGACACACACGTGCATGCCTTCCTCCTTTTTCATTGGGTCAGCTGACGGAGCAGATGGGCCTGTACGGTTGCCATTTGGCCTGAAACACAATCGGAAATAGAATTTTGCTATACTTTCAACAACCCATCATCTTTCGGTCTTTTATTTTGCCACAAAAAGTCTAGAATGCATTACAGAAAAAATTGTTTGCATTTGTAAATCAGCATGTGGAGGAGAAACGTGCATTAGGGCTGTCAAAAAACAATTTCACATTTATTTAACACAATTTTAGTTGTGAGTTAAGGAGGCAGCCTTATCACTGGCGCACGAGATGCGATGACGATGTAAGTGTCGTTGCATTATAATGTTTTTGTTAGCCTATCCAGTTGAAGCCACTAGATGCGGCACTGCTGCATTGTTCATTAAAAATATTGCGGAAAAAGAGAACATCAATGCAGAGAAGATCTTGTTCACATCAAAACTGAAACCAAGCCGTTCACACAGAACACATATTTCGCGCATTTTCTAGAGGGACATCTATTACCGTTGCCCTCGCATCTCGCACAAAGGAGCCGCATGTTTAGAAAGCCATGTAAAATTAATGCAAGTTTATAACTTTGAAAAAACATATCTCGAGACTTTATGGCGGGGGTTTTTCCCCATCCCACTGCATCTCATGTTTTTAAATGAAAAATGTACTCTGTGTGATTGGCTATCTGCCCTTTGTATTAAACTATGAATATATACATGATGCTGTTTCGTTTATAGTTGTTTAAGCAACTTAATTATAATTGGTTTATAAACATTATTTTAAACATGCACTTTTTTCACAGATAGTCATATTATCTTATGCTTTGAATAAACGTGCATTAGTAATATTTTGCTCGATGCGTCCTCTTGTGGCCTCGGAAGAGAAGCCAAAAGCTTTTCTTCACCCTAACTGAAATTATGCATTTTAAATGGGAATATAGTTCGAATTTTGATAATATTTAAGTACAAAATTCGAATTTAGTTTTTCAGCCATTTTGACAGCCCTAATGTGCATGACAATATGGAACACACCTCTGCTTGGTTGGACTGTTGGGTTCAGAAGTGGGCTCTGCTGGTGATTTAGTGTTCAGGTTTTTGAGCTCTATTTGGCTATATAGCTCAAGCAGCTCAGATTGTAATGCCTGAGTGATGTGCTTCTGGGCCAGATACCTGTTCTCTGAAGCCTGCAGATGCTCCCTACAGGAAACAAAAAATCAGTACAGACAAGGATCATATTAGCAAATCTTACAGCAAGAGGCTGTTGAAGAGATTAAAAGAACCTGATGATCCATATTCTGCAGATCAATACAGCACCACTTTATAAGACATATCATTTGCATCATTAGCAAACATATGCTTAATACATATAAACAAAGTAGGGCTGCACAATAAATCGCATGCGATATTTAATGCGCATCCGAGCTGCGCAAAAAAATCGCGCGAACATGAACGTAGTTTTGCGCAGCTCGTCAGTGAACAACGGCTCTGTGTAGTTAATGCTGCTCAATGTGAAAGCCTGCAGGTGATGGAGATTTACCGCTGATTACAGAACCGGCTTTCTGACAAGATGCGCGTTAAATATCGCATGCGATTTATCGTGCAGCCCTAAAACAAAGTAAAATAAAAATAAACATAATTAAATGTAAAGAATGAAAGAAAAATCTCCCAAACTGTGGTAAGAGAACCCCTTGGAATTCAAGTGGAAAATGCAGGAGGTTCATAAATTGTTAAATATAATAATTAAATCATAAATATGCTAAATTAAAATGAGTATTTACTTATTTAAAAATAAAACAAAATCAAAGTAAAACATTATTTTGTTTTTTTTGCCTGCATTTGACGATTAACTGTCATCAGAGAATCATGAACATGCAAATGTGTTAAATTATTGAAATATTAACATAAAATCTCAGGGGGTAGAAGGTGTACTAGAAGGTGTACCACTGGCAAAAAATTCTGAAAACCCTGTAATGTAATGTAATATAATATAATATAATATAAATCAATAATCCCCTGTGTTTGAGCATAGAAATAAGACTCGGAATCAAACCAACATCAGAAAATGAATTTAAACTTTCAACAGGACAATGAAGGCAGAGGTAAGCTCATACGTGGCCTGGCTTTTGACATTCTCCAGAAGTTTCTTTTGCTCTCGGATGGCTTGCTCTTTCTTGGTGTGTTGGGTCTCCAGGTCTGTGATGCGCTGTTGAGCGGCTTCAAGTCTCTGACTCTGCTGAAGAGAGCTCTGCCTCAAACGCTCAGCCTCACGCAGTGAAGATGCCTGCAGCATATTCAGCTCCTAACAAGTAACAAAAGAGATCAAGTCAACAATCAACTTATTATTAAGGTATAAGAATTACATTTCACAGAGTGCTGTTAAACAAAAAAATCTGTCACAAACTAGAGATCTGCTGGATTTTACACAATGATGCAAGTCATGATAAGTCATCAGTAGTTAATAATCATTGTCTACCTTGCTAGCCTCAGGTCCCAAGCGGTCGATTTCTTCCACACATAACTTGTTGGCTTCACCCAAAAGCAGCAGCTGCTTGTTCAGGAAAGCCATCTGCTGCTCCATGTTTTCACTATTGTTCAGCTGAGGTTGGATAAATCAGGAACACAAATTAAACCATAAATAAATAAGGGCAATATTTAATTTTTTTTGCTTTTAAATTATTCTTGCAGTGTGATAGCGTTTAATGTAACATATCTTTGTCATAAACAAGTCTTACCTTGATGGACAGCTGGCTGAGCATGTGTCCCATATTACACACTTTGTTATTGGCTTTCTGGAGCTCTGCTTCCATTTCTCTGACCTTCTTCTGATTCTCTTGCAAATCACTCTGTAAATGATGCCACATAAAACATTAGCATTTAACACAGATAGCACACATTCTCTTCTACATTACAGCAACAGAATGGCAAATGCTGACCATTTTTGATGCTGTATTGTGAGTGAATAAGATTAACTATGGATTTTTTCATGTCCTATCACCCTATGATCACCTTTAGCTCCTGCATCTTTGAGTAGTAGTCATTCCGCTCCTTCTGTAGCTGCTGGATTTGAGTCTGCAGTTGGTTCACAAGAGCATCTCTGTCTTCCTGTATATGCCTGGAGCGCCGCTGTTCCTCTTTCAGGCTTACCTGCACAGCCTGGATCTCAATGTCCTGAAGCTTGAGTTGGGTTTTCTGCCACACACACACACACACACAAAAACCACACCACTGGAAAATCGCTGATATTAACAACAAAATTACAAAAAAACAACAATTTAAGAAGGCTTTTGTGTCAAGCCTGACAAGACTTTTGCGGGGTTTTAACAGGATAATGTCATCAGTCATGCCAAGACCTGAACATTTCCTGCACTGATAATAAAGGAGCATTTACAGAATTCCTCAGATTGGATTTGGTAAATCGTGATAAATGGAGCTGAAAGTACTATTGTTAATTGGGTGGTTAAAGTGTGATCAAACTAAAATATTTAATGAGTATGCTCTGAACTGACAAGCTTTTCAATTATATGCAGAATTTTGCGCAGGCATAGATAATTCTTCCAGTTTCATTCATTACCATGGAGTTGTTTTGCTCTTCCAGTGCAGTAGCATTGACAATACGTCCGAACAGACGGCGGTTACGAAGTGCATGTTGCTCTCTCTTATGTCTCTCATACAGCAGCTGGTTATGCAGCAACAGCAGCTGACTGTGCAACATCCCCAGCTCATCTGACGCTGTAGACACAGGACCTGGAAAAATACATTGCAGTCAATTCAAATGCAACAGAATAGTGCTGTGGTTTAAATGTTTAAAAATAACTGTATAACTAAGGCTGCAGAATATTGGAAAAAACATGATCATTTAAGGAAAATACAATAATATAAATAAAATAATTTGACAAAAGTTATTTCATTTTACAGCATATTACAACACTAAAATTTACATTAAACTATTGAACCATTCATTAAACCACTGAGCTTTCATTTTGTTGATTTGGATCATTTGCACACATGTAAATGAACAGTGCTGTGCTTCACTCTGAAACTTGCAGCCCATATTATTTAATTAAAGGAGTCATATGATGCTTTTTTAAAGATCATTATTTTGTGTATTTGGTGTAACAGAATGTTGACATGCGTTAATGTTCAAAAAACACATTATTTTTCAAATACTGTACATTATTGTAGGTCCTCTATGCCCCGCCTCTCTCAAACGCTTAGTTTTCTACAAAGCCCCCTCCTTTGACAAGCGCAGTCTGCTCTGATTGGCCAGCTGACCCAGTGCATTGTGATTGGCCGAACACCGCAAGCACTCGTCGGAAATGTAACGCCCCTTACCATAATCGCGAGCTTCATCTTTCAAAATAAATGTAAAGACAGAGGGAAAGGGGAACAGAGTCGCGTGACAGACACAGTGATGGGAAAACTTGAAATCGCATCATATGACCCCTTTAAACTGTAGCCTTCGTGTTTCACATTAATCACATTAAGCCACAATATCGTGCAGCTTCACTGAGAATCTACAGGGATTCTGGTTATTCGGCTGATCAGGGCCAACACAATGCTGCTTCTGAGGATTTTATAAAGAATGACACAGAAGACAGTAGAAGAATCTGAAAGAATAAAAGTATTTAGAGGAAAGCGTCAGTAAAATGGAAACAAACAGGAAAGTTGTAATAGAAAAGTTGGAGGACACAGTCGTCTTGAGCATGGAGAGCCTATGAATTAGTAAAATAACTAAATACCTTTTCCTTTATTGCTATGCTGTTTACCTCCAGAGTGTGGGTCTGCTGATTGGCTTTGAGAAGACGGAGTTCTGTAAAAGAGCAAACAGACAGTGTTCCGTCACATTTTCTCTAAAACACTTTCAATAGTGATATCAGACATAAGAAAAACAGAAGCGTACCTCTTCAGCACTTTCTCATGGGTGTCATGACCCTGCTGGATAACCCGGTCCAATACCTCCAGAGGGGAGGTGGCAGAAAGATCCTCTCCCTCTAGCTCCTCTCGGTGCTCCCTTTCTTCATCAGCTCTCTGGATGGCCTCTGCTGTCTTCCTTTCCAAAAACAGAGATGCCACTTTAGGCAGAGCGAGGTCAAACAGTGGCTCATATGACATGGACTCCTTCGTCAGATCAGACACAGAACATTTACTACACTTCCCGTTTTCAATGGGGGTGAAAGCGGGCCAGAGGGACCAGGGTTGCTTCTCTCCTCCTTTGGCAGAAAATTCAACCCTGTCTGGTGTGGACACTAAATTCTGCTCATGGCTGGGGTGAGACGAGAGGAGGGTGTCGAAGGAGCCAGAAAATGAGGAATCCAGGCCTGGCCTCATTCTGAATTCCAGTCTCCCATGGGTCAGACTCAAAATCTCCTCATTGATGGTATCTTGAAAGAAAACATTGAAGAAGTTGGTGAACGAAGAGCTCATTGTAAATGAAGGCTTGATTAAACACACTTTTAAACACACTTATTGTTTTGCATGATGTCACTGCTCTCACCATCCTCTATCTCCCCGTCTGTCCTTTTGACAATGTCAGAGAGCTGTTGCAATGACACCGGAGTCTTGGCATCACTTGCACCTCCTAGAAGTAGCAAAAGTAAAGCATATTAAGTGTGTGTCAGTTACTAAATGAAATGAGACTCTAGAAATCTCAGCAGATACTCGCCATTGTTATTAATACTTCTAGGCGTGACTTTCTTCAGGTCTTTGCCTGTCTGAATCACCTAAATAGTTTTAGACAGAAAAGCATTTTTATGAAAACACGCTCACAGAATATGTTTAATAAGTAATGAAGCAAATGCTTTATATGTCCATGTACCTTAGCCTGAGTACTGCTGGTGTTTTGGGCAGGCTGCCCTATTTCCTCTGAGAGTGATGGGAGAGGAGATGACCCTGAGGGTGTGGAGGGAGAAAGGGTCCATTTTCCATCCCCTGTAACAAAAATAACCCCTGAAGCCATCTGAGGGACTAAACAAACATACAGAACCATTTTTGCTTTCTAGACCAGGATGCATTTGGCTGACCTGACATGCTGGGGATCCGTCCTGAGAGGTGGGAGGCACTATGTGAGACATCAGAAACTGTGGTGGGGGACATTCCTCTAGAGCTGGGAGGGGTGGTCATCCCACACACTGAGGAAGGACTCCACATCTCCTCCTTTGTCCCTGAGGAGTGCATCCCATCACTCTATTGATGGACCAAACATAACTTCATTCAGTTAGGGGTCACTGACATGATAATCTACATTTAGAGGCTTGTTCTGACTTTCAAAACAATTTGGATAACTACATACTAGGGGTAGGCAATATACCAGTAGACATGACAAACCAGTATGAATTTTTTACATGAACTCTTTTCTATTTTATTTATAATTGCTTGTATTTACAGTCTTTGTTCTTATTTTATTACTGACTGTTTACTTGTCTTGTCTGTGTACTTTTATTGTACTTCAGTTACTGTACAAAGATTATCAGGAAATTTAAGTAAGATTTTGGTCATTTTGCCTACTCATTTGGAGGATTCTTACCTGATGGTTGGGGGTCTGTGCGCTGGAACCTGAGTCTTGGGTTACAGTGAGATATGGTAGTGACAGAAAAAGAGACTGATGAACAGCAGCCATTGGTGTGACCGATGTGATTTCTGTTAGCAGAAAGTAGGTAAGTTTTAAAATCAGTACTCGCAGGAAAAATCTGAAAATTTTATTAATTCTTAATACACACACACGTCAAAGCCTCTATCCATTCTGTGGTCTAATACATTGTTAATATAAACAGTTTTACATGTAGATTTCACATGTTGATCTCCTTTAGATATGAATGAAGATTTGGCATTTGGTGAGTTTCTACTATAGTAGTTTTGTACATATATGTTTATGTATTTGTGTTTTGATAACCGTTTTTTCCCCTCATCTTATTGGGCCTAACAGAATTAATGAATGTAACCTTTCTCTTGACCTGTTTTCTATTGTGCTTCTTAATTGCTGGATTACATTATCTTGTTTATTTCATGGGGTGCATTTAAAAAAAAAATAAAAATAAATAGTTGCTCTTTATTTGTGATGAAGACCTGTGTACGCAAATGCCTTGGTTTGATTTTCAAAATACAACTCTCCCTTGTGGTTGGATTTCCTTTTTCCATTGGAAACATTTACAAACAATAACTACACAGAACATCACTGAATTAGAAACAGCATTAAACATTATATGTCATTTTACCATGGATGCTGAGCTCTGAGCATGATCGGCTATGTTCCACAGGGCGTCGTGGTATGTGATCCGACAGAGAGGAGTATCCTTCTTCAGATGATGCCTCCTTAGAATCCAGTGAAATTTTGGCACATTCAATCACAATATCATGAGGCTCAAATCTCTTCCATCTACACACAATTAAAAACAGTAAAGTATGAAAAATCAGGTTCACTGGATCATGTTAAGATATAACAGAAATTGTAATATTTCATTTTACATACCTAATTGGATCAACCTCGTAGTCTTTGGTTCCAGTGATGAGCTCAGGATGTATCCGTACATACTCTAACATGGGCTGATATAAAAGAAGAAGGAAATTGTAGAGCAGGTGTTAAAATAGTAATAATAATTTTGCCACTTACATGACAATTCTTAAAATTGTGTGGCATGAAAGATAAAACCTCACCTTCACCACTTCCTCAAATGTGTCAACATTTTCCTTCATACTGTAGTGGGCACGCAAGTAAGAAACGAAATTACAGGGATACATGCCATATAAACGATGAAAAAGCGAGTACACGCTGGCATGTAGATGGACTGCAAACACTCCCTGAGCATGACCTACACATTCAAAGAAAGAGTACCTTTAAGACCAAGTTATATTTCAACTATCTAGAAACATTGCACTTCCAAGAACTGAAGCTTAAAAAACACAATTTCATTTACAAAACACAAATATATTTGCAGTGTTTATGCCCGAGTACCTGGGTGACGTTGGTTCCAGGCAGCAAGCCTTCCAAAGATATCAAAGTAATCGCACAGAAGTTGTTTACTGGTCTGAGGAATCATGGGTAGTAGAGCGATCAACACCAGCACACCAGTTATGAGAACTACGACATCGGAGTCAGTCTGAAAGTAGAAATAAATAAAAAAACTACCACTACCATTCAAAAGTTTGGGTTCTGTGAGTAAAAAACAAACAAAAAAAAACACTTGCAAGGATGCATTAAATGTATTAAAAATGACAATAAAGATATTAATGACGGTACAAAAGATTTCTATTTCAAATAAATGCTTTTCTTTTAAATGTTCTATCCAAAGAATTCTGACCAAATGTATAATTGAAAAAAAAAAAAAAAAAAACATTAAACAGCAAAACTCTTT